TATGTAATAATATACTAAGTTTGGGCCAACTTGACGAGGTGGGATGCAAAATTCTTATGGAGGACGGTTTTCTTTGGCTATATGACCGATCAGGAGCAACATTGATGAAAGTGAAGAAGTCTCCAAACCGACTATATAAGGTACATCTTCATATAGTTCCACCAACATGTTTACTTGCAAAGATGGACGAGGCAGCTTGGATTTGGCATGCACGCCTTGGACATTTAAACTTTGATGCTATAAGGAAGTTATCAAAAGAAAAATTGGTGATTGGTGTGCCAAACATAGATCACAAGTCACAATTGTGTGAAGCTTGTCTCGCTGGGAAGCAACGACGTCTTCCATTCCCATCCCAAATTTCTTATCGAGCACAGCAGCCCCTTGAATTGATACATGCTGATCTGTGTGGTCCTATTACACCAAGTACACCATCTGGGAATAGGTACTTTTTATTGCTAGTTGATGATTTCAGCAGATTTATGTGGGTATATGTTATCAAGTTCAAAAGCCAAGCATGTGAGGCATTCAACAAGTTCAAGAAGTCAGTTGAATTGGAAAGTGGTTACAAAGTGAAAGCATTGAGAACTCATCGTGGAGGTGAGTTTGTCTCTACCAACTTTGAACAACTTTGCAATGAAGAAGGTATAAATAGGCATTTAACTGCACCATATACGCCACAACAAAATGGTGTGGTTGAACGCCGAAACCAAACTGTTCTTGGAACCACAAGATCTATGTTAAAGGCCATGAATATACCGCAATGGTTGTGGGGAGAAGGTGTACGACATGCTGTCTACATCTTGAACAGAACTCCGACAAAAGCTTTAGAAAAGAAGACCCCGTATGAAGCCCTGAAAGGACGGAAGCCCAATTTGGAACACCTAAAGGTGTTTGGATGTATGGCGCATGTCAAAGTACCAACACCCAAATTAACAAAGCTGTCAGACAGGAGCGAGGCAATGGTACATCTCGGGAGTGAACCAGGAAGCAAAGCATATTGACTTTACAACCCAAAGACAAAAAGGTTATGTGTTAGCAGGGATGTCCAATTTGAAGAAAACAGAGCGTGGGACTGGGCTAAAGATTTGGAGACAGAGGGAAATGAAAGTCAGGTTGAATTTGTTGTTGAAAATGAAGCTTGTGTGACTGGTCAAGGACTGACTCAAAATGGTGGCAGCCCACTCAATACCTCACCCAATCACACTGAAGACCTGGCTGCTCCAAATGTACAGAATGGGTGTGAATCTGTTAGCACACCGGTGAATTGTTCGTTGTCTAGCCCAAAGTCGCCTGCCTCGGTTCCAAGCACTCTTATCAGCCCACTAAATGTTCCAAACAGCCCACATGGGTTTGAAAATCTTAGTACATCAGGTGCAAGTCCTATTTCAAGTTCACATTACGATGATACACCCCCTCGAGGATTTCGCCACCTAAATGATGTGTATTCAAGAACTCAATCGATACAAGAGAAGGCTTTCAATCCACCTCACTTTGATGACGCAGAACTATTACTATCCAATGAAGAACCAAGTACCTTTAATGAAGCCAAAGATAGCAAAGAATGGAATGCTGCAATGCAAGACGAATTGGACTCTATAGAAAGGAATGAAACCTGGAAATTGGTTGAACTCCCGAAAGGAGTTAAACCGATTGGTCTGAAGTGGGTTTATAAAGCCAAAAGGGATGCCAAAGATAATATAATTCGCTACAAAGCGAGACTCGTTGCGAAGGGGTATGTCCAAAAACATGGTATTGACTACGATGAGGTGTTTGCTCCAGTTGCTCGAATGGAAACAGT